ATTACTGTCTCCCAGGACAGCACTATCAGCCCCACATTTACTGACTACCAGGACATCACCTCCAGCCTTACAGTTTATGACTACATGGCCAGTATCAAGGGCAGTACCATTCAGCCCAGACATTTTATGTTCCCATCTGTTGTAGAAAGCTTCCAGGTTTTCTATGGGCCAACTTTTTTGTAGTTTCCATTAATGATGTTACCACTTCTCCATCTGTTATCTTCAATGTCCCCTAACCTACGGTCCTCTTCAATTGTCGCTTGGGACACTTAGAACACAATCCCAAAGACCTCCAAACCCTTACGCCTTGAGACCTTGCAACTACGTAACCACCCCTTCACAAACTAGATTCTCTGACCAAGCACCCAAAACTTACACTTGTTTCTATCTCATAAATACATCCCCCCCCCCACACTTTTACTCTAACGTTCCCAGACACAACCAATCAGTCCTATTTTTACAGGCTCCCCCATCACTTAACAAACTCCCCTTTTCTCACCCTCCCTTCTTTGCTAGCTGCCAATATCTCAACAGCCCTGAAACCCCACTTTCCTTGCTCGGCCCACACATTACACTGCATTTTACTTCCTGCCTCCAGAGAAAAAATCAAAGCACACTTCATGTGCATTTTAATGTTACACATTTCCAACCTTCCATTCATTCAATTTACTATCCCACAGCTTGTGTCTATTTGGCCAAGTGGCACAGTGGGCTTAAAATTTCCTTCAGGCTTGTTGTCTATAACTAATGTGCAAAGATTTTGACTTCATCCTTACTGCGTCACTACTTTTATTAAGTGATTTTTTAACTTAATTATTCTCAGGGTCGCAGAGGGGACTTTTGCAAAGGCGAGTCAAGAGTTTTTTCACCCTCTTATACGTCAAATAAACGTATCTTGACACCAGCATCCCTAGATTCTCAAACAATTTTTTTTTTTCTTTTTTTTTTTATTAATTTTAAGCGCTTAACCCATGTGGGTCACTCGCGCAAGACGCGGTGAAGGTTTGATCCTCCGTCTACTGAGCGCCTGACAGACGCGCTTCCTATTTGTCCTCACCTATACTTCCATCTCATGTATGTATCTACCTGCTGACTGTGGGGGCAATTTGAGCCATCTGAATTGGGTATTTAAACATGTCATACAGTACAAATACTTTTCCTAATTTCTCCTCCGTTTCCTCTACAGATAACTTATATCTTTTTGGTTCCACCGTACTTTATGCGCCACACTCGCCATTCCCCGGGCCCCTTTGGGTAAACATTTAAAAAAAAAAAACTATACAAAAGTCATCCCCGACTGACCTTGTAAGTTTGTTTAGCTGTGTGGGGCCACTTAAACTGCAACTGCAACGCAGCCCCATTTGATAGCTTGCTTTTGTGATCACCGAAAAATGCCACTTCCTCGGGTGGAGCAGGCTGAAAAACTACAATAAAAAGCACAAACCTAACCTGCGTCCCCTCACTACCACCACCAAAAAAATAAAGTAGATCTGATGAAGTTCCAAAAGCAACTCGGCGGCGTCCCAGGTGATGCAGTAGGGCGGCCCAGGTGATGCAATAGTGGCGGGTCAGGTGATGCAGTAGTGGGGGCCCAGGTGATGCAATAGTGGGGGCCCAGGTGATGCAATAGTGGCGCTCAGGTGATGCAGTAGTGGCGGCCCAGGTGATGCAGTAGTGGCGGCCCAGGTGATGCAGTAGTGGCGGCCCAGGGGATGCAGTAGTGGCGGCCCCCCCCGGTGATGAAGTAGTGGCGGCCCCCGGGATGCAGTAGTGGCGGCCCAGGGGGTGCAGTAGTGGCGCCCAGGTGATGCAGTAGTGGCGGCCCAGGTGATGCAGTAGTGGCGGCCCAGGGATGCAGTAGTGGCGGCCCAGGTGATGAAGTATGGCGGGCCCCGGGGATGCAGTAGTGGCGCCCAGGGATGCAGTATGGCGGCCCAGTGATTTCAGTAGTGGCGGCCCAGTGATGCAGTAGTGGCGGCTCAGGTGATCAAAATGGCGGCCCAGGTGATGCAATAGTGGCGCCCAGGTGATGCAGTAGTGGGGGCCCAGGGGATGCAGTAGTGCGGGCCCCGGTGATGAGTAGTGGCGGACCAGGTTTATGCAGTAGTGGTGGGTCAGGTGATGCAGTAGTGGCCCGGGCCCCGGTGATGCAGTAGTGGGGGCCCAGGCGATGCAGTAGTGGGGGCCCAGGTGATGCAATAGTGGGGGGTCCAAGTGATGCAGTAGTGGCGCCCAGGTGATGCATAGTGCGGCCTAGGTGATGCAGTAGTGGCGACTCAGGTGATGCGTATGGCGGCTCAGGGGAGCAATAGTGGCGGCCCAGGTGATGCAGTAGGCGGCCCAGGTGATGCAGTAGTGGCGGCCCATGGGAGCAGTATGGCGGCCCAGGTGATGGAGTAGTGGCGGCCCAGGTGATGCAGTAGTGGTGGCTCAGGTGATGCAGTAGTGGCGGCCCAGGTGATGCATAGTGGCGGCCCAGGCGATGCAGTAAATGGCGGCCCAGGTGATGCAATATGGCGGTCCAAGTGATGCAGTAGTGGCGGCCCAGGTGATGCAGTAGTTGCGGCCTAGGTGATGCAGTAGTGGCGGCTCAGGGGATGCAGTAGTGGCGGCTCAGTGATCAATAGTGGCGGCCCCGGTGATGCAGTAGTGGCGGCCCAGTGATGCAGTAGTGGCGGCCCAGGTGATGCAGTAGTGGGGGCCCAGGTGATGCAGTAGTGGCGGCCCAGATGATGCAGTAGTGCGGCCCAGGTGATGCAGTAGGGCGACTAAAAGGGGATGCAGTAGTGGCGGCTAAGGTGATGCAGTAGTGGCGGCCCAGGTGATGCAGTAGTGGCGGCCCAGGTGATGCAGTAGTGGCGGCCCAGGTGATGCAGTAGTGGCGGGCCCGATGATGCAGTAGTGACGGCCCAGTGATGCAGTAGTGGCGGCTCAGGTGATGCAGTAAATGGCGGCTCAGGTGATGCAGTAGTGGCGGCCTAGGTGATGCAGTAGTGGCGGCTCAGGTGATGCAGTAGTGGCGGCCCAAGTGATGCAGGAGGGGAGGCGTATGGTAGTTCCAAAAATTGCTATATTCCTAGTGAGTGGTTATTGCATGCAACAATCTTACTCACACATGTCCCAAAAACACTCAAATATTACAAGTATTCAACGACGCGGACAATGGCAGGATTTAACAATTACAGGACAAGTTTACAGCCGAGCAGTGAGCTTTTAAGACCATATGATGGTACCTACAGGTAGAATGGCGGGACGGCGAACGCCAGAGATCTTCCTTCTCCCTTAAGGCGGTTTTATCTCCGTAAAGTTAACTAAGTGTTTAAAGATAAGCCTAAGGAGGAAACGAAGCAGTTGCTGGCGTTCTCCTTGAATGAGTAAGAGCGTTGCAAGGACGGTGTCTTTTTCCTGACGCCAGACGCAATTAAAAACCTGAAGAGGAGTCACACGTGGCACTACGACTTCACCAAGGTAACCCATCAAGCCATAAATACAATCCGCGAGATGATTAAGAACGACCTACAGACTTTCCATTACGAGGAGTACCGCAAGGAAGAAAGGAAGCGGCCCATACAAGAGGTCTATGACGGCACAATGCCTCTCATTAATCCTAAATACTTACGCAGAGCCAAGGACCCTGACTACAATGCCCGAACTGGCTATAATGATCACATCTGTTAATGGGATCAATACCACCACCTTAATGAAAAACGTACCTTCTCAACATAGAAACACAACTACAGAATGAAGGAATTGTTAAAGAGAAGAGAATTTTCCCAGAACTGGGCTCCTGACGAGAACAAGTTACCTTTTGCTCTAGATAATGAGGAGCTATTTGATACGACAGAAAGGGGCACGATGAATAGATAAAAGGTAATCCTCGGAGAGTCTGACCCTCTCGTTGCCCGTCCCTATTTAGACGAGGCCAAGAGACGGCAGAGAGAGAGGCAGGAGAGAGAGGGTCGGTCACCCACCACCACCCATCAAGCACAGTCCAAATTTCTTTCTCTATGTAAACTTCGCGAATAGGGAAAATAATCGGAGTTGCGTGCCCAATCCTAGTAGGCATAGCACGAAGAACAAAAAAAACTTTACAAGGAAATAGAAAGAATTTTTGGCCAGAATAGGGAAAGCGCATTTGTTGTCAGTGGTTCCTGTGAGCAACAGAATGAGGTGTCCGGTCAGTCTTACATTATTGCTAGAGAGAAGCTAGTTGAGTCCCTGGCTCAGTAGCTGCAGCAGCTCACAACCATCCATCAAGAAGTGAATTTGGCGCGCAAGATAAGCGCTTTACTGAACAGACAGTGACAGAGGATTGAGCCTCCACCATTCCTCGCGATGAATAACCGACAACTGCCCTTTTCCACCCGAAGTAAGCAACTAGTACAGCTTTATCATTCTATCTGTACTTTTATGCATTTATTATTTATATCATTTTGCCCACTTATATATATATATATATATATATATATATATATATATATATATATATATGTGTGTTTCCTGCATGCCTCATGTGTAACTGTATGTTTCCTATATACTTCTGTGTTCTATGTATCCCTATGTATCACATGTAAATCAACTGAAGAGGCTCTGAGGAAATGAAACAGCAGCCACCTCTACCTGGGAGTTTTGGGTATTTTGAATGATTGTCGGAGCTGCTTATACTGTGTTAGTTACCATTTTGTCCTAGGCACATGTCGATTAGACACTAGGCCTGTTGTGTATGTGTGTGTGCATATCTGTGTGTGTATGTGTGTGTGTGTGCATATTTCTGTGTGCATGGTATATCTCTGTGCATGTGTATATCTATGTGTGCATGTGTATATCTGTGTGCGTGTGTATATCTGTGGTGGCGTGTGTATATCTGTGGGTGTGCCTGTGTATATCTGTGGGTGTGTGCACATATATATGTTGAGTGTGTATATCTGTGTGCGTGTGTATATCTGTGTGGGTGCATGTGCACGTGTGTGTGGTGTGTGGGTGTGCATGCGCGCATGTGGGTAATATACCATCTTATTTTAATATACCACTACTGCTGAGATAAACTGACAAATAATTTTTAAACAACTCTCATAGCTTGTAATAGTGTGTTTAAACAGGACTTCTGTACACTGTCTAATATTAGCAAGACTAAACATTAGTTACTATGTAGGAACACAAGTAGTGTATCATGAGATCAAAATCAAATATAGAAAATCACTATCTTGTAACCAATATTCAAAATCATGATCTTTGATTGTTCAATACTCACAATATATGAACGTTTATTTATACTTTATGACTGAAGCACCATTATGGAAATACAGTAATCAATGAGCCTCTTTCTAGTGTATAAAATTTACATACTTGAAACTGAGAAATCCAAATGGTAGTACAACAACATGCTACCTCACACCAATGTAGCAGAGCGCTTATGAGTGACTATAGCAGGAACTGCCTGGTGCAGAGCAGCAGCATCCCAAGATCCTCCCACAGGATCATCAGCTTCTCCTGGAGCAGGTGATCCCTTCATGACTTCCAAGGGCTGGCAAGTAAGAGGAGTGAGGGGCTGATAAACTCCCTTCTGTATGTGTGTGTGTGTTCACCAGGAAATGGAATAATGAAAAGGACCCGAGTCAAAACATAGCACCTCTATCCATTGTTTCAGTCATGTCTCCAAATGTTTTTCTCCATTTCCATTAATTATTAATTACCTCTTAGTAGCTACAGTAACAGAGCTATGCGCGTAGTGTCCCGTCTTCAAAAAAATTTTTATTAAATAATTTTTAAAGTTCATTCCATATATTTTTTTTAAAGTTCTTTAGACTGGGCTGCCACTCCATTAAAAAAAAAAACTAGTATTTCTTCGGTTCCACTTTTTTGTCACAATTTACTAGTGCCACACTGTGCGGTTGCTGGGTTACCTGACGTCCCACGGGCCATTCATCCAGCACCACCCTGGAACTGGATTGATTAGTGTGTCAGGGAGGAGCAAGTCAGTGAGGGAGGGAATACAATGTCAGTACCTCCCCGACTTGTACACAGGTATCACTACATTCTCTTCCTCCTCGCTCAGGTGAGCTCCCATATATTAATGTACACCTTAAAGCCATCCTAAGTTCCTCTTTGTAAATAACACTTATATTTTTAAATATACTTTATACGTTGTAGCTATACTGGTTTTGCAACTTTGTGGTGCAGAGTAAATGTGACTTGACCCAGGGTGGAACATAGATACCTTTCTCAGGAGCGGTAGATGTTACTTAGGAACAATGAGACATGGCACTGCATCGTTCATGTGCTCCTTGTGCCACATAACATTGAAATACAGCAAAACGTTCTTCTACAACATATGAAAGAGCCCATAAGACTGAGGGAAGGTACCCGCCAGACTATAGGTGATGTTCACCCAGAGAGCCTCAGACACAGGTCTTCAAGTGTGAAGCCACAAGAAGTTCACAATATCCTAGGTAGAACATTTTACAGCTAACCCACAAATTTATAATAAAAACAGACTATTCTTCGGTCTGTCCTGGACCATTATAGTGAGAAAAGAGGCAAAAAAATAAAAATAAAAAATCAAATTTGACAATGGAATTGAGACAATCAAGGTCAGGTCAAGAATGGCGTAATCTCGAGATTATCACTGGACAAACAATGTTGGGTCTAACATTCAAGTTAAGGGTGTTGTGTATAAGGGTTAATCCAATAAGCCGATGTCTGTAAAGGTTCAGGGCGAGTTATATATATATATTTTTTAATGGATTAACTCTTGGGATAATTATGGTCCAAAACATGTCAACAAATAGCAATTTTTTTTTATACTACTTTCCCTCTTCCAAGTTATTGCTAGACTTCTCAGTGAGGAAAGTGGGAAAAGGGGCAAATGTGTGAAAGAAAAAAGAGGTACAAAGTAGTACTGACAAATTTAGTGTTGATTGCTATACCCACAGCGAGGCGAGGCAGTGTGTGTTGACAGTGTTGTCATGGTGGAGCCGAGTGTTGGTGGCACTTATTAGCATTCCTACATGCACACACGCACACCTACACGAACTGTATTTGGGAGTTATTATTATTACTTTTTATTCTCATTATTATCTCTTCGTGGCATTTTCTCTGTTATGAACATGTATAACACTTTAGGGCCATTTATAACTTTGTAACCCAGCACAGTACACATTACTGTTGTTTCAACACAATAATGTGCTGCAACACTGAGGATAGTGTTAAGAACACTATGTAGGATGATGACACACTGAACATCTCTGTGATAAAGGACTCGCTAATCTACATGAACATTATGGGATATGAATAAAGAGAAGGGGACATTGTTATCGTTCTATCTTGGGAAGTGGCAGAATTCCATGTGCCTTAACGCTTGTCAGTACTTTCTCTGGAGGGTCTGGAGTTATTTGCTGGAGTCGATACTCAGCTCCTGGCCCTGTCTCTTCCAAAGTGACCGACACCACTGCTTCTCTATCATCATTAGTATATCACTTTGGCTAAAATCACAGTCCACTGACACTGGACTGAAAATTTCATTATTTCACCGTCTATTTGAACGTAAGGTTGGTTGAAGGCGTCTTCACCTCACACACTCAGGGTCCGGGGGTCGATCCCTGCACGGGTGAAACGCTGGGCATGTTTCCTTACAGATGCTGCCTCTGTTCACTTAGCAGTAAGTAGACGACAGCTGTGGGACGCATCCTGGGGAACAGGATTAACCCGAGTTGTCCGAAATTCTCTTCATAACCAAGGGTTTTCTATATAGTATGCCACTGATGCCAGCTAGGTCTGTACTAGTTGTATGATGCATGTTCTTGAAGAAATATTATTATTATTATTATTATTATTATTATTATAAGTTGGGTGGATCTTCAGTTTGAGCTTCAGAAGTTCATATCGCTATTATATATCAATGAATTTGTTGGCATTGTGGTATATTATAATTGGTTAAATTTTGCTTATAGACGACAATCTAAAAAAAAAAGACTAACTTAAATTCGCATATCGAGAAATTTGCTGAAAATCTTATATGAGAACTCAACATTTGCCTTACGATGGATTGTCATAGCTACTCTTGAAACTGTGTATATAGTTTGCCTCCACCACCTCTTCTTACAGCTCATTCTATTTGCTTTATCACCTTTGACTCAGATGAGTCAAAGGGATGTTAGAAAGTATTTCTTCAGCCACAGAATTGTTAGGAACTGGAATAGTCTGGTAAGTGATGTAGTGGAGGCAGGACCCATACATAGTTTTAAGACGAGGTATGATAAAGCTAATGGAGCAGGGAGAGATAGGACCCAGTAGCGGTCAGTGAAGAAGCGGGGCCAGGAGCTGAATCTCGACCCTGCAACCACAATTATGTGAATCAGTTGAGTACACACACACACACACACACACACACCGCCAAATGCAAAGTCATGAAGATCGGGGAAGGGCAAAGAAGATCGCAGACGAGTATAGACTAGCTGGTCAGGCTGCAAACCTCACTCAAGGAGAAAGATCTAGGAGTATAATACCGAGCACGTCGCCAGAAGCACACATTAACCAGATAATTGCTGCGGCATATGGACGCCTGGCAAACCTGAGAATAGCGTCCCGAAACCTCAGTATGGAATCGTTCAAGACTCTATACACTGTGTACGTCAGGCCCATACTAGAGTACGCAGCACCACTTTGGAACCCACATCTGGTCAAACACGTCAAGAAATTAGAGAAAGTGCAAAGGTTTGCAACAAGTCTGGTTCCAAAGCTAAGGGAAATGCCCTACGATGAAAGGTTAAGGGAAATCGGCCTGACGACACTGGAAGACAGGAGGGTCAGGGAAGACATGATAACGACATACAAAATACTGCGTGGACAGAGACAGGCTGTTCCAGAGATGGGACACAGAAACAAGGGGTCACAATTGGAAGTTGAAGACTCAGATGAGTCAAAGGGATGTTAGGAAGTGTTTCTTCAGCCTCAGAGTTGTTAGGAACTGGAATAGTCTGGCAAGTGATGTAGTGGAGGCAGGAACCATATATAGTTTTAAGACGAAGTGTGATAAAATTCATGGAGCAGGGAGAGGGAGGACCCAGTAGCGGTCAGTGAAGAGGCGGGGCCAGGAGCTGAGTCTCGACCCCTGCAACCACAACTAGGTGAGTACACACACTAGGCGTAAGTTGGGCTGTGTAAGAAACAATTATATAATTGGTTATACAACATGTTTAGATAATTTATTAGTAAATAATCCCACATTCATTCATTCACACTTGATGCCGGTGTGTTGTAATGTTACAGGTGTGCCCTGTTTTACGGGTGTACAGGTGTTTGTTGTACTTGCAGGTATAGAGTCCAAGAGACGCAGTGCTAGAGATGGTTTGCGACAGTGGCGGGTCATCACGACCTCCAATTTTGCTCTCATTAATTCTGACAGGTAAGGATAACCTGTCTTTGATAATGAGAGGCATTACTGACATCCATTATACACTACATGCGTGTATGTGTGTGTGTGTACTCACCTAATTGTACTCACCTAATTGTGGTTGCAGGGGTCGAGACTCAGCTCCTGGCCCCGCCTCTTCACTGATCGCTACTAGATCCTCTCCCTCTCTGCTTCCTGAGCTTTGTCATACCTCTTCTTAAAACTATGTATGGTTCCTGCCTCCACTACTTCACTTGCTAGGCTATTCCACGTCCTGACGACTCTATGACTGAAGAAATACTTCCTAACGTCCCTGTGACTCGTCTGAGTCTTCAGCTTCCAGTTGTGACCCCTTGTTTCTGTGTCCCCTCTGTGTGTTTGTTACCATTTTGTCCTAGGCACATGTCGACAAAGGCTATGGAGACAGAGGCTAAAACGTGTAGTTTTAAAAATAGGTTAGATAAATACATGAGTGGGTGCGGGTGGGTGTGAGCTGGACCTGACTAGCTTGTGCTACTAGGTCAAATGCTGTGCTCCTTCCTTAGGTGAATGTGACCTGACCTGACTAGGTTGGGGCATTGGCTTAAGCCGGTAGGAGACTTGGACCTGCCTCGCATGGGCCAGTAGGCCTGCTGCAGTGTTCCTTCTGTCTTATGTTCAAAGAACTTTGTCCTTAGAGGCACAAAAATGCAATGTACCAAAGTATTGCGGTACTAACACTGTTGTATAGATGTGAAGCGTGGGTTTTAAACGTTACAACGAGGATGAGGCTGGAGGCAGTGGAGATGTGTTTGAGGGCAATGTGTGGTATGGATATTATGCACATTTGCCCTCATTTGAGGACAAATGAGGGGTTGTTAAGATGGTTTGGACATTTGGAGATGGAGTAAAATAGGATGCAGGGAAGAATGGGTAGGGATCGTCCTAGGAAAGGATGGAGGGTAGGGATAGAGGAGATGCCTACCGGGTCACCAACTGGAAAAGACCCAGGTCGGGACAACACAGGCGAACCACATCACTCACGATAAAGATTTCGAGCACTAGGGTCGTGCACATCCAACAGGCTAGTGTGAGTGTCTTAGATACGAGTGAATGGAGACAAGAACATAAGAACGAAGGAACACTGCAGAAGGCCTACTGGCCCATGCGAGGCAGGTCCAAGTCTCCTACCGGCTTAAGCCAATGCACCCAACCTAGTCAGGTCAGGTCACATTGACTTAAGGGAGGAACACGGCAACCGACCTGGTAGCACAAGCTATCAGGTCCAACTCACACCCACCCACATCCACTCATGTATTTATCCAACCTATTTTTAAAGCTACACAACGTTCTGGCCTCTATAACTGTACTCGGGAGTTTGTTCCACTCACCGAGTACAGTTATAGAGGCCAGAACGTTGTGTAGCTTTAAAAATAGGTTGGATAAATACATGAGTGGATGTGGGTAATTTTTTATGACGATGTGTTGTTGGAGTGTGAGTAAGGTAACATTTATGAAAGGATTCGGAGAAATTGATTAGCCGGGCTTGAGTTCTGGAGGTGGGAAGTACAGTGCCTGCACTCTGAAGGAGGGATGAGGAATACTGCAGTTTGGAGGGTCATCTATACTGTAGTGTCGACACGACTCTGCCAAGACAGTGACAGAGTGATGGGGAAAGTGCTTCTTTTTCGAGTCATCCTACCTCAGTGGGAGATAGCAGGTGTGCTAATAACAAGCTCAATTTAATTTAGCCTAGTGCAACTAATTATATTTTAGATAAGTTTACAATAATTTAATGATAAACAAACAATGAAATATATTTTTTTTTCGTTAGGTTCAGAATTATTTTTGCGAAATTATTGTATACATAAATTTTCGCTTGCCTATTTGGCAAGATGAGCGTTGCTATTTAAGCCAAAATCGCAAGTTTTACCTATTCGGCACGACTGCACACAGACACACAGACACACACACACACGTGTGTGTGTGTGTGTGTGTGTGCAGTACTTTAACCACACAGCCAGACCCCTGATAAGGGTGTGTATACATTAAAACTGCCAAGTATATGCAAATTTTAATAGACAAAAAAAAAAAGTGAATATTTTGTTGTTTGTATTGTTACAGTGTTGGGAGTGGAGGCAGTGGGAGGTCAATACGTGGTCAACCATTGTTACTGCTTCTCTGACGGCTTCGACGCCAACATTACCGCTGCCATCGCAAAGTTTCCCCCACAAAACTCGCTCATCTATCAATATACTGGCGCCTTGTACAACAAGTATAGCAGTTTTGTTCCATGTCAGTGTGCTGATGGTAAGTCAAGTCAGTTAGCAGTGTGATGCAGTAGTCACCATTGACTGACATAAGAATGATAATGATAACCAAGTGAAATTGTTTAGGTAATTTCACGGTAAGTAAACTTATACTTACTAAGTGGCCTAATGACAATATTTACTAAGTGACCTTAATGGCAGAATTAGTGAATGGCCTTGTGAGTGGCTTATTAGTAAGGTCTAATGAGTGACTTCAATGTAAAACCGTAAAGTGAGGGGCCCCTAAAGTTTGGCCAAAATATACCAATTCATTTTTCAACCTTTTAATTAATCAATGTTTAACTAGATTATTTATTATTATTATTATTATCATCATATTTAGGTGGAAGCGCTACCATCTGCAGCTCACAAGACTGCCATCCCCACGAGCCTCTTCGAGGTGGGGTAGATGGCAGACCAGAGGCCTAGCTTCTCCCTACGAGCCCCGTGAGGGCGGGGAATGTGGCTAGGCCTGGGGACACTTGGTCCCAAAGATGAGGAGGTACTTGTCCCTCCTCCCATGGGAGACTTAAGTCTCGAGACACTCCCCAGATAGGGAGCCAAGGCCGGGTCACCACTACTTGGAAAAGACCCGGGCCGGGAGAATACCGGCGAATAAAAAAAAAAAAAAAAAAAAAAAAAAAAATCTCGTAAAGGTCATATAAAGCCTGGGCAATGGAGAGCAATTAGGCTTGATCAAGGAAGTGGAGGATAATTTCTTCAGTCACCAGAATAACACATCATTCTTTACTTAGTCTTACAGTGTATGTGTGCATTAATAACTAGGCTTTGTTGTCTGGGTGTTGAGAGCATCTTTGGTGTTGTCATCAGTAACGAGGGTCCAGACAACAGTTGTGATGACCAACACCAGCATAATGGCAGCAGCCAACGCTACCATAGTGCCATCCAACGCCAGCGCTGCAGCAGTACGGAACGCAACCCAGACCACCACGCTGCTCCTCATCAACCTCTCTACCAAGGTTAGTTAGCCTGCGCCTCGGCACAGGTCACCAAATTGGTCCATAGTTAGGTTGGGGTCACTTCATGCAACCAGGTCACTTTTTGAAAACCACTCAGGAAACGGAGTCACGTCCCGCACCTGAGTCACATTTCACCACCCAGGTTATTTTTCACCGCCCTGGAAATAGAGGGTCACATCTTGCACCTGGGTCACCTTTCACTATGCAGGTCACTTTTCACCACCCAAGAAAAAGAACGTCACGTCCTGCCCTCGGGTCACCTTTGACCACCGAGGTCAATTTTCACCACCCAGGTCGATTTTCACCTCCCAAGAAACAGCTAAGGGGTCACGTCCTGTACATGAGTCACCTTCACCAGGTCACTTTTCAATGTGAAAGATTCGCATACTCATAGAATATTTAAAATCATTAAATTATATGGTAGAAGTGCTTGGAATAAAAGTAAATAAAAAATATTACATCGTATCAATCGCATCTGCTAGAAAAATGACAGGATGGATAATGAGAACCTTCAAAACTAGGGATGCCAAGCCCATGATGACACTCTTCAGGTCGCTTGTTCTATCTAGGATGGAATATTGCTGCACACTAACAGCACCTTTCAAGGCAGGTGAAATTGCTGACATAGAAAATGTACAGAAAACCTTCACGGCACGCATAACGGAGATAAAATACCTCAATTACTGGGAGCGCTTGAAGTTCCTGAACCTGTACTCCCTGGAACACAGGCGGGAGAGATACATGATTATATACACCTGGAAAATCCTAGAGGGACTAGTACCAAACTTGCACACGAAAATCACTCACTACGAAAGCAAAAGACTCGGCAGACGATACAACATCCCCCCAATGAAAAGCAGGGGTGTCACTAGCATGTTAAGAGACAACAAAATAAGTGTCAGGGATCCAAGATTGTTCAACTACCTCCCAGCATACATAAGGGGGATTGCAAATAGACCCCTGGTTGTCTTCAAGCAGGCACTGGACAAGCACCTAAAGTCGGTACCTGACCAGCCGGGCTGTGACTCGTACGTTTGGCTGCGTGCAGCCAGCAGTAACAGCCTCGTTGATCAGGCCCTGATCCACCATGAGGCCTGGTCACAGACCGGGCCGCGGGGGCGTTGACCCCCGGAACTCTCTCCAGGTAAACTCCAGGTATTAGAGCCTGGTTACCTGGAGGTTATTCCGGGGATCAACGCCCTTGCGGCCCGGTCCATGACCAGGCCTCCCGATGGATCAGGGCCTGATCAACTAGGCTGTTACTGCTGGCCGCACACAGTCCAACGTACGAGCCACAGCCCGGCTGATCCGGCACTGACTTTAGGTATCTGTCCAGCTCTCTCTTGAAGGCAGCCAGGGGTTTATTGGCAATTCCCCTAATGCTTGATGGGAGGCTGTTGAACAGTCTTGGGCCCCGGACACTTATGGTGTTTTCCCTTAGTCTACCAATGGCGCCCCTACTTTTTATTGGGAGCATTTTGCATCGCCTGCTGAGTCTTTTACTTTCGTAGGGAGTGATTTCTGTGTGCAGATTTGGGACCATTCCTTCCAAGATTTTGCAAGTGTAGATTATGATACATCTCTCCCTCCTGCGTTCCAACGAGTACAAGTCAAGTGTTTCCAAGCGTTCCCAGTAGTTAAGGTGCTTGACAGAACTTATGCGTGCAGTAAAGGATCTCTGTACACTCTCTAGATCTGCGATTTCACCTGCTTTGAATGGAGATGTTAATGTACAGCAGTATTCCAGCCTAGAGAGAACAAGTGATTTGAAAAGGATCATCATTGACTTGGCATCTCTCGTTTTGAACGTTCTCATTATCCATCCTATCATTTTCTTTGCACGTGCGATCGTGGCACTGTTGTGATCCTTGAAAGTGAGATCCTCAGACATTACTACTCCCAGGTCCCTTACATTATTTTTCTGCTCTATTGTATGGCCAGAGTTTGTAGTATACTCTGTTCTAGTTATTATTTCCTCCAGTTTTCCATAACGGAGTAGTAGGAATTTGTCCTCATTGAGCATCATATTGTTTACCGTTGCCCACTGGAAAACTGTTTATATCTTCTTGGAGGTTAACCGCGTCCTCAGCAGATGACAGCCTCATGCAGATCCTAGTATCATCCGAAAAGGATGATACGGTGCTGTGATGTATATCTGTCTATGTCTGATATGAGGATAAGGAATAAGATGGGGGCGAGTACTGTGCCTTGTGGAACAGAGCTCTTCACTATGGCAGCCTTCGATTTAACTCTGTTGACCACTACTCTTTGTGTTCGATTTGTTAGGAAGTTGAAGATCCATCTCCCCACTTTCCCAGTTATTCCTTTAGCACGTATTTTATGGGCTATTACAGCATGATCGCATTTGTCAAATGCTTTTGCAAAGTCTGTGTATATTACATCTGCATTTTGATTTTCTTCCAGTGCATCCAAGGCCATATTATAGTGATCCAGTAGTTGTGAGAGGCAGGAGCGACCTGCCCTGAACCCATGTTGCCCTGGATTGTGCAGATTTTGGGAATCCAGGTGAATTGCCTAGGCAAACTTGCACTATATATTGCCATCCTTAGAGATTTTACCCCTCAAATGTAAAGTGGACGTTTATAGACAACAGTATTATTGTATATATCTAACAACTATGTGAAAGAACTCTAGACAAATAGGCACAAACTAGTTATCTCAAATTAAAAGTTTTCCTTAGACCAAGAGGTTAAAAAATTAATACACGGGGTTAAATCCTCATATACGATGAAAAACTAATTGTGTATTATGACGATTTGATGTACAATATATTCTGATTACACATTCGCTGGAGTGCAATTAAGAATGTATTCATGTGCAAGAAACCTAAGAAATATGCAATGTGTGTGAGGGAGGGAAAGAAGGAAAGAGGCAGGGAAGGCCGCTTACAAGGCAAGCGAAATTGCAGACCTGGAATATTAATATACAGAGAACTTTCACTGCACGTGTAAGTACAATAAAGCACCTAAATTACTGGGAACGACTGAAGTCCCTTGATCTCTACTCCTTGGAACGCAGGCGAGAAACCTTGAGGGACTAGTCCCAAATTTGCACACTGAAATCACTCCCTACGAAAGCACAAGGCTCGGCAGGCGGTGCAACACCCCCCAATGAAAAGCAGGGGCGCCATGAGTATGCTAAAAGACAAGATAATAAGTGTTAGGGTCTCAAGACTGTTCAACTGCCTCCCAGCATATATAAGGGGGATTACCAATAGATCCCTGGCTGTCTTCAAGGAGCTGGACAGGCACCTAAATTCAGTTCCCTACCAAGTGGGCTGTGGTTCGTACGTCGGTTGACGTGCGGCCAACAGTAACAGCCCTGATCAACCACGAAGCCTGGTCATAGACCGGGCCGCGGGGACGTTGACCCCCAAAACCCCCTCCAGGTATGGAAGGGAGGAGTATTAACTCAATCTAACTGCAAAGATATGAGAAATGACCAACCAAATTAATATTCCCTGGGAAATCATCCTAAACGCTCTAAATTTACCAAAACGTGTGTTAGAAAACAAGACCTGCCCACAACAATAACAAACTGTGTAAAGCCACCGAACATTTATAGACTAGGATACACTTTAAACACAAAGCTTCGTTTAGAGTGACACAGCTTTATATATAAATAAAGGCTTGCTGTGCACAAATCAATGGAAGTGTATATGGTGTATATAAAATATGTCTTGCTGAGAAAGCCTAAGCTAAGATTTAGCATACAATGAGAGTGCAGAAGACTCTGCAGACGAAAAATGGGGTTACTTAACTGATTAAAAAGCCATTGTTGTAACGGAAACAAAGACACTGTGGATTTAGTATTTCCCCACGAATGTAGTAGAAAGAAGTAACCTGCAGAAGAAGCAGAGCAGAAACTCAAACATTCATAACAGAGTAACACTAAGGGAGGTTCATGCCCACATAAGATGAGCGATAATCTGAAATAACTGAGAAACCATGACCAGTAAATGCAGTTCAACACAATAGAAATAAGTCAGTCTGACTTTTTTGGGTTATACTAGGTAATTTACACTATGTATGATAATTGTACTTATGTGTACCTGTGCCTAAATAAACTTACTTGCTTAAGACTTGAAGACCCACATATGTTCTTTCCTTAACTTTACCAACCCTATAAACTGTAGATACATTAGCACAAATCCTACAAACTTAAAAACAAATTGACAAAATGCGACTGGATTCCTATATAGATGGAAGATGAAAACCTGTAATGATACTTGAAAAAAATGGCTACTTCACTAGTTTGGGAGCAACATACTCCATCATCAATTCTTCCACAAAGTAAGATAATCAAAACAAAATACGAAACTTAAAAATGAAAAAGCAAAACACATGCTATCGACAAAAGGAAAGTTAAATGAAGGCTAAAAACTGAAAACAAAGTAACTACTGACCGTTTATTACCCAGAGGTTGCTATCTAGTGCGTTGAAACTCCACAGTGGCCATTATCATAGTCTCGAGTTAGTAGCCAGCTCCTGGGTCATGCACCACGGTGGTCAAGGCCATGGTCTTGAACTACAGAGGACAGCTTCATGGTTTTAAACCATTATGGCCAACTACATGGTCATAAACAACAATGGCCAACTCCAGTCTTGAAATACTATGGCCAACTCGTCTTGAACTACTATAGCCAACTCGTCTTGAACTACTATAGCCAGCTCCAGTCTTGAACTACTATAGCCAACTCCAATCTTGAACTACTATAGCCAGCTCCAGTCTTGAACTACTACAGCCAGCTTCAGTCTTGAACTACTATAGCCAGTTCCAGTCTTGAACTACTATAGCCAGCTCCAATCTTGAACTACTATAGCCAGCTCCAGTCTTGAACTACCATAGCCAGCTTCAGTCTTGAACTACTATAGCCAGCTCCAATCTTGAACTACTATAGCCAGCTCCAGTCTTGAACTACTATGGCCAACTCCAATCTTGAACTACTATAGCCAGCTCCAGTCTTGAACTACTATGGCCAACTCCAGTCTTGAACTACTATAGCCAGCTCCAGTCTTGAACTACTATAGCCAGCTCCAGTCTTGAACTACTATGGCCAACTCCAATCTTGAACTACTATAGCCAGCTCCAGTCTTGAACTACTATGGCCAACTCCAGTCTTGAACTACTATAGCCAGCTCCAGTCTTGAACTACTGTAGCCAGCTCCAGTCTTGAACTACTATAGCCAACTCCAGTCTTGAACTACTATAGCCAGCTCCAGTCTTGAACTACTATGGCCAACTCCAGTCTTGAACTACTATAGCCAGCTCCAATTTTGAACTAATATAGCCAGCTCCAGTCTTGAACTACTATGGCCAACTCCAATCTTGAACTACTATAGCCAGCTCCAGTCTTGAACTACTATAGCCAGCTCCAGTCTTGAACTACTATGGCCAACTCCAGTCTTGAACTACTATAGCCAGCTCCAGTCTTGAACTACTATAGCCAGCTCCAGTCTTGAACTACTATGGCCAACTCGTCTTGAACTACTATAGCCAGCTCGTCTTGAACTACTATAGCCAGCTTCAGTCTTGAACTACTATAGCCAGCTCGTCTTGAACTACTATAGCCAGCTTCAGTCTTGAACTACTATAGCCAGCTCGTCTTGAACTACTATAGCCAGCTCCAGTCTTGAACTACTATAGCCAGCTCCAGTCTTGAACTACTATAGCCAGCTCCAGTCTTGAACTACTATGGCCAACTCCAGTCTTGAACTACTATAGCCAGCTCCAGTCTTGAACTACTATAGCCAGCTCCAGTCTTGAACTACTATGGCCAACTCCAGTCTTGAACTACTATAGCCAGCTCCAGTCTTGAACTACTATAGCCAGCTCCAGTCTTGAACTACTATAGCCAGCTCCAGTCTTGAACTACTATGGCCAACTCCAGTCTTGAGCTACTATGGCCAACTCGTCTTGATTATTATTATTATAATCAAAAAGAAGCGCTAAGCCAAACTCGTCTTGAACTACTATAGCCAGCTCGTCTTGTACTATGACCAGCTCCAGTCTTGAACTACTGTGGCCAGCTCCTGGGTGACATTTTATTGTGGCAACGTTTCGCTCTCCAGGAGCTTTATCAAGCCATTACAAACAATACATGGACACAGAGGGTATATAAAGGCTCAGAGTGAGGTGCAATACTAGTGAGGTACCATTTCGATGTTCACTAGTGGTAGTAGTAGTAGTAGTAGTAGTAGTGACAAAAGTAATACAATATGGTAGAGCAATTAATTCGTACATGAGTAGAAGGATATAAAAGCTATTACTTGGGTAACATAAAAATAGGTTGGACAAATATAGACTGGAAAGAGGTAGCTTGTTTCAGTGTTCACTCTCTGTAATGTGCTTTGTGTAGTATAACAGGAGAGACTATGTGATGGCAGGGTTTACTGTTTTCAGGAGGATTCTTGCTAAGACTTCGGAGATGGTGAAGCTGCCGTTGTTTTGTTTAATTGTATTCGAAACAGCGATCAGTGCTGATTCGAGGCACTTGCCTCTGGGGAAACTAGCTTCTCCGATCACCAATTGGGCGTCTCCGAATTTCACGAGATGACCGGTGGAACCTCGGCGTTGCACACAGGCGTTGTTCAAGTTATCGCTCCTACACGCGCAAATGTGTTCATGAACAACGGTGGCCAGAGCCATGGTCTTGAACTACAGAGGACAACAATTCATCTAATATGACATAAATAATATTAATAACGTAGAAACACGACATATACTCTAGAAAGAATAAAATTGTCACGAGTGTTGTTATTGTTGATGGGTGTAAAAGGGCCACTGAGAGCATAAGTCGTACATAGTGGTGAAGGCAGCAGCAGAGACGGTAGAGTCGGCGGTGTTGTTAGTAGCCCTATATAACTCCAACAAAATTGGAGGAGTCAGGTTCATGCTGTCATTTTTCTATCGATTAATCTCTTAACTTACTTGCTACACTGTTAATGCTACACTTTATCGTTGGCTGGCGCTATAGTCTTTATCGACTCGTGCTGCTTTAGTATCGTACATGGTGGCCCAGTGGCTAAAGCTCCCGCTTCACACACGGAGGGCCCGGGTTCGATTCCCGGCGGGTGGAAACATTTCGACACGTTTCCTTACGCCTGTTGTCCTGTTCACCTAGCAGCAAATAGGTACCTGGGTGTTAGTCGACTGGTGTGGGTCGCATCCTGGGGGACAAGATTAAGGACCCCAATGGAAATAAGTTAGACAGTCCTCGATGACGCACTGACTTTCTTGGGTTATCCTGGGTGGCTAACCCTCCGGGGATTAAAAATCCGAACGAAATCTTATCTTATCTTACATATATAAGAGTATATATATATATATATATATATTATATATATATATATAATATATATATATATATATATATATATATAATATATATATATATATATATCGTACATATATTAGGGTTCGACCCAGGGAAGGGGAGCACATATCCAGTTCGTCAGATCAAGAGCCCCTCGCCGACATTGAGTTGTTCACATAGCATCACTTATACATCCAGATGCGTAGTCACCAGTTGTATGTCTTATTCTGTTACCACTCCATGGTATTTATCCTACGTGTCAACACCTGGAAATCGTATTTATTTTGCGACTACGTTCCCCTTGAACCTGCATTTATGGGTGATAATATTAACTTTGCGTCTTGACTAACCCCTAACCTGTCCTGATCTGCTACAGATGATGACTGTGCAGTTGCCACAGATGAGGCAGCTGGTTCCTTCCCTTAACAGTACCCTCATATCTGGCCAGTACTACAACCTGACCAACGTCACTGCCACAGCTGCAAATTTCAACCTCCAGTTCGTTCTCAGAGGTCGCAACGCAAGTCTCTCCGACCAGGTGAGTAACACCTGAGAGATGGAGAAACAGTTATCTTTTTTTTTTGTCAAAATTGGATACATCAGCAATGTTCTGCTACCTTCTTTATGCTAGTTACATTGTAAGAACGAGGTTATGTGCAGAGAGATGGTAGGGCGAGATGTGGAAGAGTGAATAAGAGGTAAGGAGGAAGATATAGGGAGTGAGAGTAGGAAACACGGAGTTTCATCCAAAAATAACATCAACAACCACATCTGTACAAGTGAGCATCCTACACCTGCACTAACATAGTCACTCTACAGGTGTGTGCTGGGCTGGTGGCTGTCTTCTCCAACGATACCTCGGTCAACCTCACTTCCAGCAACTGCACAGGTGAGTCTCCTACACCTGCACAAGTGAGTCTCCTACACCTGCACAGGTGAGTATCCTACACCTGCACAGGTGAAACCTAAACCTGCACAGGTGAGTCTCCTACACCTGCACAGGTGAGTCTCTACACCTGCACAAGTGAGTCTCCTACACCTGCACAGGTGAATCCTATGCCTGCACAGGTGAGTCTCCTACACCTGCACAGGTGAGTCTCCTACACCTGCACAGGTGTCTCCTACATCTGCACAGGTGTCTCCCACACCTGCACAGGTGAGTCTCCTACACCTGCACAGGTGAGCCTCCTATACCTGCACAGGTGAGCCTCCTACACCTGCACAGGTGAGTCTCCTACACCTGCATAATTGAGCCTCCTATACCTGCACAGGTGAGCCTTCTACACCTGCACAGGTGAGTCTCCTACACCTGCACAGGTGAGCCTCCTATACCTGCACAGGTGAGCCTCCTACACCTGCACAGGTGAGCCTCCTGCAACTGCACAGGGGAGCCTCCTACACCTGCACAGGTGAGCCTCCTATACATGCATGGGTGAGCCTCCTACACCTGCACAGGTGAGTCTCCTACACCTGCACAGGTGAGTCTCCTACACCTGCACAGGTGAGTATCCTACACCTGCACAGGTGAATTCTAAACCTGCACAGGTGAGTCTCCTACACCTGCACAGGTGAGTCCCCTACACCTGCACAGGTGAGTCCTCTACACCTGCACAGATGAGTCTCCTACACCTGCAAAGGTGAGTCTCCTATACTTGCACAGGTGAGTCTCCTACACCTGCACAGGTGAGTCTCCTACACCTGCAGAGGTGAGTCTCCTACACCTGCACAGGTGAATCCTACACCTGCACAGGTGAGTCTCCTACACCTGCACAGGTGAGTCTCCTACACCTGCACAGGTGAGTCTCCTACACCTGCACAGGTGTCTCCTACACCTGCACAGGTGAGTCTCCTACACCTGCACAGGTGAGTCTCCTACACCTGCACAGGTGAGTCTCCTACACCTGCACAGGTGTCTCCTACACCTGCACAGGTGTCTCCTACACCTGCACAGGTGTCTCCCACAAGTGCACAGGTGTCTCCCACAAGTGCACAGGTGTCTCCTACACCTGCACAGGTGAGCCTCTTATACCTGCACAGGTGAGCCTCCTACACCTGCACAGGTGAGTCTCCTACACCTGCATAATTGAGCCTCCTATACATGCACGGGTGAGCCTCCTACACCTGCACAAGTGAACCTCCTATACCTGCACAGGTGATTCTCCTACACCTGCACAGGTGAGCCTCCTACACCTGCACAAGTGAACCTCCTATACCTGCACAGGTGAATCTCCTACACCTGCAGAGGTGAGTCTCCTACACCTGCACAGGTGAGTCTCTTACACCTGCACAGGTGTCTCCTATACCTGCACAGGTGAGTCTCCTACACCTGCAGAGGTGAGCCTCCTACACCTGCACAATTGAGCCTCCAATATTTGCGCAGGTGAGCCCCCTACACCTGCACAGGTGAGCCTCTTACAGCTGCACAGGTGAGCCTCCTTCACCTGCACAGGTGAGCCTCCTATACCAAATCTTTCAATGGGCTACAGAAAACAATATGAAGTTCATCGATGAGAAATTTCAATTACTCCGATATGGTAAACATGAGGAAATTAAACCTTCATCAGAGTATAAAACAAATTCCAGCCACAAAATAGAGCGAAAAACCAACGTCAAAGACCTGGGAGTGATCATGTCGGAAGATCTCACCTTCAAGGACCATAACATTGTATCAATCGCATCTGCTAGAAAAATGACAGGATGGATAATGAGAACCTTCAAAACTAGGGATGCCAAGCCCATGATGACACTCTTCAGGTCGCTTGTTCTATCTAGGCTGGAATATTGCTGCACACTAACAGCACCTTTCAAGGCAGGTGAAATTGCTGACCTAGAAAATGTACAGAGAACCCTCACGGCGCGCATAACGGAGATAAAACACTTAAATTACTGGGAGCGATTGAAGTTCCTGAACCTGTACTCCCTGGAACGCAGGTACGGGAGAGATACCTGGAAAATCCTAGAGGGACTAGTACCAAACTTGCACACGAAAATCACTCACTACGAAAGCAAAAGACTCGGCAGACGATGCAACATCCCCCCAATGAAAAGCAGGGGTGTCACTAGGACGTTAAGAGACAACACAATAAGAGTTAGGGGCCCAAGACTTTTCAACTGCCTCCCAGCATACATAAGGGGGATTACCAATAGAGCCCTGGCTGTCTTCAAGGAGGCACTGGACAAGCACCTAAAGTTGGTACCTGACCAGCCGGGCTGTGGCTCATACATTGGATTGCATGCAGCCAGCAGTAACAGCCTGGTTGATCAGGCTCTGATCCACCATGAGGCCTGGTCACAGACCGGGCCGCGGGGGCGTTGACCCCTGGAACTCTCTCCAGGTAATACCTGCACAGGTGAGCCTCCTACACCTGCACAGGTGAGCCTCCTATACATGAACAGGTGATCCTACACCTGCACAGGTGAGTCTCCTACACCTGCACAGGTGAGCCTCCTACACCTGCACAGGTGTCTCCTACACCTGCACAGGTGAGCCTCCTATACCTGCACAGGCGATCCTACACCTGCACAGGTGAGTCTCCTACACCTGCACAGGTGAGACTCCTACACCTGCACAGGTGAGCCTCCTACACCTTCACAGGCGAGTCTCCTATACTTGCACAGGTAAGTCTCCTACACCTGCACTGGTGTCTCCTACACCTGCACAGGTGAGCCTCCTATACCTGCACAGGTGAGTCTCCTATACCTGCACAGGTGAGCCTCCTACACCTTTACAGGTGAGTCTCCTATACTTGCACAGGTAAGTCTCCTACACTTGCACAAGTGTCTCCTACACCTGCACAGGTAAGCCTCCTATACCTGCACAGGTGAGCCTCCTACACCTGCACAGGTGAGCTTCCTATACCTGCACAGGTGAGCCCCTACACCCACACAGGTGAGCCTCCTACACCTGCACAGGTGAATCTCCTACACCTGCACAGGCGAGTCTCCTACACCTGCACAGGTGTCTTCTACACCTGCACAGGTGAACCTCCTACACCTGCACAGATGAGTCTCCTACATCTTGCACAGGTGAGTCCTATACCTGCACAGGTGAGCCTCCTACACCTGCACAGGTGAGCCTCCTATACCTGCACAGGTGAGTCTCCTACACCTGCACAGGTGAGTCTCCTACACCTGCACAGCTAAGCTTCCTACACCTGCACAGGTGAGCCTCCTCTACCTGCAAAGATGAGTCTCCTACATCTGCACAGGTGAGCCTCCTACACCTGCACAGGTGAGTCTCATACCCACACAGGTGAGTCTCCTACACCTGCACAGGTGAGCCTCATATACCCACACAGGTGAGTCTCCTACACCTGCACAGGTGAGTCTCCTACTCCCACACAGGTGAGTCTCCTACACCTGCACAGGTGAGTCTCCTACACCTGCACAGGTGAGTCTCCTACACCTGCACAGGTGAGTCTCCTACACCCACACAGGTGAGCCTCCTACACCTGCACAGGTGAGCCTCATATACCCACACAGGCAAGTCTCCTACACCTGCACAGGTGAGCCTCATATACCTGCACAGGTGAGTCTCCTACACCTGCACAGGTGAGTCTCCTACACCCACACAGGTGAGTCTCCTACACCTGCACAGGTGAGTCTCCTACACCCACACAGGTGAGTCTCCTACACCTGCACAGGTGAGTCTCCTACACCTGCACAGGTGAGTCTCCTACACCTGCACAGGTGAGTCTCCTATACCCACACAGGTGAGTCTCCTACTTCTGTACAGGTGAGCCTCCTACACCTGCACAGGTAAGCCTCCTACACCTGCACAGGTGAACCTCCTACACCTGCACAGGTAAGCCTCCTACACCCACACAGGTGAGTCTCCTACACCTGCACAGGTGAGTCTCCTACACCCACACAGGTGAGTCTCCTACACCCACACAGGTGAGTCTCCTACACCCACACAGGTGAGTCTCCTACACCCGCACAGGTGAGTCTCCTACACCCGCACAGGTGAGTCTCCTACACCTGTACACTTGATACATTATACCACCACACTTTTCACACAGCTGACACTGGATACCTGGCCTTATGCAATCTTTGCTGGATTATTTTGGCTTGCTTAATATTATAATCATAATTAAGCGCTAAACCCCAGGGTCATACAGTACTGGCTTATATATAATCTTTATTTCCACAAGTACATATACAAGGTATACAGACCATAGCTGACATCAATGACATATATGCTACTATATAGAAAACCGCTTGTTATGCAGAGCATTTCGGGTAAATTAGGTCAGTTTTGTCCCAGGATGCAACCCACACCAGTTGACTAACACCCAGGTACCCATTTTGCTGATGGGTGAACAGGGACAGCAGGTGTCTTATGGAAACACATTATTATGTTTTCCAGCCGTTCCAAGGGATCGATCCCGGACCTCAGTGTGTGAGCTGAGTGCGCTAGCGATCGAGGTACAGGACAAGATAACCCAGTAGTTAGTCATTATCCTCCTTGCCTGTTATCTTTTATATGATGTTAATCCAATGTATACCGCTACCACTGCTTTCTTTCCAGTGGTGGGGTGTAACCAGACTTCTCCGGCACCACCTACCAATGGTAACCTGACCTCCACTGGCACTTTAGCAGGTGCCACAGCCACTTACACCTGCAATGCGGGTTACAGGTAAGTGAAAACATTATATCTATTGAGAAGAGCTAAACCCTTAAGAGATTATACAGCACTTGGGAAATGGGAGATAACTGTATGATCCAAAGGTTAGAGCAGCTTCAATTTATTGAATCAAAAGCCCTTCACCTAGCAAAGTATGACCTTAAAACTCAAGTCCCAAGTTTTTTGTCACCTGCTGGATGGTACTAAGTACTTCACCTTCTGGGTGGTACTAGGTACTTCACATGCTGGGTGCTGCTAGGTACATCTACTGGGTTGCTCCTCCAGGTGACCAGGGTTATAACCTAGCTGTGTTAGTGAGTTTGATCACCTGGGAGATAGTTGTCAACACTCACCACAACACTCTCCTCCACATCAATACTAACCACCACTACCACCAACATTACCACTCACTACTACCTCTCCCCCTCCCTCAAATACTACCGCTCACCACCAACACTACTACTACTACTACTATTACTACTCCTACCACCACCACCACAACAACTATTACTATTATACGCAAAAATATTTTCTATTTAACTCAAGACCCTTAGTTAAACAAGCAGTTTCACACAAGTAGGCTTGCGTCAGCTTGCTAGTTAGGAGTAAATGAAGATATGTGGTTTTAATGAAAGTGTTGTTAGGGTGTGAGCAAGGTAACTTTTATGAAGGGCTTAAGAGAAACTGGTTAATAAGACTTTAGTTCTGAAGGGAAAGGGGCAGTGCCTGCACTATGAAGGCGTGAGGATGTTGCAGTGGGAGGGTAATCTGATTGTTAATGTCAGCACACCTCTGGAAAGACAGCGACTGATTGAATGATGAATGTGTTTTCTTGTTTGTATCACCCTGCCTTGGTGGGAGACTGCCGTGAGACGTAATAAACTACTATCAGTGAACAAATAGAATAATGGACTACGCATACAAATACACATACAAAGTGTAAAAATATTTGTTTCTGCAGGTGATGACAGTGGTGGAAGTTGTAACAGAAACCAGGGCACTTGCCTCTGTGATAGTTTATATACAGGGATGTGTGTGTGTGTGTGTATGTGTGTGTGTGTGTATATATATATATGTGTATATATATATATATATATTATATATATATATATATATATATATATATATATATATATATATATTATATATATATATATAAAGGTGGCATATACGGTACATGTTGTTACGTGTGTATCACCGATTATAAGGCGAAAATCTCATCCAGCTCCTCAGAGCTGGGGCATGTGCCCAAAATACAGCAGGCATTACCCCTTTGAACAGCCGCACTGAGCCGCTGGAACAGGAAACTAGCTGCCCTGGGATCCCTAGTTACCCTGATGAGTCTTTTTCCCAGCTCCTTAAGGAATTTAGATGCACTCTTTCCCCATGAGCCAAGGGTCTCTGAGCCTATGGGAACAAACATATAATGATGGGCAAGTTCTCCATATTTTCAAGATTTTTGGGACTCCCTGAGGCTGGCAGCTGCCCCTCCTTCCTCCTTGGTGTATTGGAGATAGGTATCAGCCAAGGTAGATGCACATGTGTAGTCCCACACCACCTGCTTCCCATCTGTCCAGGCTTGAAGGGTGATTCCATCTGGACGCTTCTGGCTGCCATCAGATCTGCATAGTTGGGGTGGCTCCCTTACTGCTGGGCATCCAGCTGTTGTGAGGCTCCTCTTGATAATGTTATTAACCTCCTCATGTCTTGCAGTCTTTCCCTCGGATTTACGGCACACAAGACCATGGTACCCGAATCGGTCTGCTGCTTCACTGCCACAAATACACCTGTGTTCGGCGAGAATAGGGGCGGCAAGTCGAAGGGCAACACCGACGCGGATGGTCTGTGGGTCGAGACGTGTGCCAAGGCTGGAGTTGGGAACAGCCAACAGAAAGTCCCCAGCATGAGGGGCTCTCACTGCCAGGAGGCGGGCTCTATCCTTCCCTGACACACTCTGAAGCATTGTTGAGGCAATATTTTCCACTATTGGACCATCCCAGTGCGATTGTTTGTAGTTGTTGGGGGGAGCAGGTCTGGTTCCAGAGCCCGTTAGATTATCCCAGATCATTGCTCCGTCAATGAATTTTTGGTCCTGGACTCCAATCTTGTCCCTAAGATGTTCAGGGAGAATCGCTGCTACAAGCTCTCTGGATGCAATACACGAGGACAGAAAAGCAGGTAACGCAATCTGTGATGACTTGCGGACACCAATGCCTCCTAGTCTGACTGGAAGTGTAGCATGGTTCCACTGCCCGTCTTCTAGAGTAAGGTTAAGTTCTTTCGTAAAAATCTGCCTCAGAATACTGTCATATTCGTGCAGTATAGGGTTATCATATGAAGGTGCACATCTTAGGAAATATGTCAACCTGGGCAGACTCAAGCACTTTGTGAGAAGGTACAAGGCATCGTGGGTGTCCAGATTGCCTATTCGTTGTTCCATTCTCCTTAACTCTTCCAATTTCTTCCTGAGAATTGTGTCAATGGCATTGCTTCCCAGAGGTGCTCCTAGCAAGACACTATTTGTGGGGGCAATGACTGCTGCTCCTGGTAGTTTTGATCTCACTGCATTTATCACTTGTTGACTGACTGAGATGATTTCACATTTGGATGGATTCAGGATGAGACCCATTTCCTGTCCCCGTGTCATTACCTGTGTAAGGTCATGTAGGAGGGACTCTTTTGTACCTGCTAGTGTGCCATCATCTAGGAACCAGATGTTTAGCTCGCTGGTCAGTCTGACTGTGATTTCCCTAACTGCTATACAGAAGAGAAATGGTGCAAGAGGATCTCCTTGTTGGACACCCTCCGATGATGTAATTTCATGCTCTCCATATATATATACTATATATATATCTTTCTTTCAACACACCGGCCATATCCCACCGAGGCGGGGTGGCCCAAAAGGAAAAACAAAAGTTTCTCCTTTTACATTTAGTAATATATACAGGAGAAGGGGTTACTATCCCCTTGCTCCCGGCATTTTAGTCGCCTCTTACAACACGCATGGCTTACGGAGGAAGAATTCTGTTCCACTTCCCCATGGAGGTAAGAGGAAATAAACAAGAACAAGAACTAGTAAGAAAATAGAAGAAAACCCAGAGGGGTGTGTGTATATATATGTTTGTACATGTATGTGTAGTGTGACCTAAGTGTAAGTAGAAGTAGCAAGATGTACCTGAAACCTTGCATGTTTATGAGACAGAAAAATGGACACCAGCAATCCTTCCATCATGTAAAACAATTACAGGCTTTCATTTTACACTCACTTGGCAGGACGGTAGTACCTCCCTGGGTGGTTGCTGTCTACCAACCTACTACCTAGGATATATATATATATATATATATATATATATATATATATATATATATATATATATATATATATATATATATATATATATATATATATATATATGTCGTGCCGAATCGGCAGAACTTGCGATCTTGGCTTAAATAGCAACGTTCATCTTGCCATAGGACAAGTGAAAATTTGTGCATGCAATAATTTCGTCAAAATCATTCTGAACCTAACGAATAAAATATATTTCACTGTGTTTGTATAGTATTAAATTACTGTAAACAAATCTAAAATACATTTAGCTGGGTTAGGCTAAAATAAATTGTTCTTGTTATAATAAGGTTAGGTAAGTTTTCTAAGATTCTTTTGGTGCAAAATTTAAATATTTTACGTTAACATTAATGAAAAAAATATATCTTTAAACGTATAAAAGAAAATTTCAGAAAAGACTTAATTTTAAATGAGTTCTTGCTAACTGATCAGTTTTACATATTCGGCACGACATATAATATATATATATATATATATATATATATATATATATATATATATATATATATATATATATATATATATATATATGCAAAACAACCACTCTGAAAGAATAGAGAAATTCCAAGCGCTTTCGTGACTACTCACATTATCAAGGAACTATAGTTCCTTGATAATGTGAGTAGTCACGAAAGCGCTTGGAATTTCTCTATTCTTTCAGAGTGGGTGTTTTGCATATTCTGAAATCACCTGTTTACTGTGAATATAATGCAGAGAATTCGTAGTTTGGAAGTTAGGAGGAGGTGCGGGATTACCAAAACTGTTGTCCAGAGGGCTGAGGAAGGGTTGTTGAGGTGGTTCGGACATGTAGAGAGAATGGAGCGAAACAGAATGACTTCAAGAGTGTATCAGTCTGTAGTGGAAGGAAGGCGGGGTAGGGGTCGGCCTAGGAAGGGTTGGAGGGAGGGGGTAAAGGAGGTTTTGTGTGCGAGGGGCTTGGACTTCCAGCAGGCATGCGTGAGCGTGTTTGATAGGAGTGAATGGAGACAAATGGTTTTTAATACTTGACGTGCTGTTGGAGTGTGAGCAAAGTAACATTTATGAAGGGATTCAGGGAAACCGGCAGGCCGGACTTGAGTCCTGGAGATGGGAAGTACAGTGCCTGCACTCTGAAGGAGGGGTGTTAATGTTGCAGTTTAAAAACTGTAGTGTAAAGCACCCTTCTGGCAAGACAGTGATGGAGTGAATGATGGTGAAAGTTTTTCTTTTTCGGGCCACCCTGCCTTGGTGGGAATCGGCCGGTGTGATAATAAAAAAAAAAAAAAAAAAATATATATATATATATATATATATATATGTCGTGCTGTATATGTAAAACTGGTCAATTAGCAAGAACTCATTTAAAATTAAGTCTTTTCTGAAATTTTCTTTTATACGTTTAAAGATATATTTTTTTCATTAATGTTAACGTAAAAAAATTAAATTTTGCACCAAAAGAATCTTAGAAAACTTACCTAACCTTATTATAACAAGAATAATTTATTTTAGCCTAACCCAGCTAAATGTATTTTAGATTTGTTTACAGTAATTTAATACTAAACAAACACAGTGAAATATATTTTATTCGTTAGGTTCAGAATGATTTTGGCGAAATTATTGCATGCACAAATTTTCACTTGTCCTATATGGCAAGATGAACGTTGCTATTTAAGCCAGGATCGCAAGTTCTGCCTATTCGGCACGACATATACATATATATATATATGTATATATATATGTATATATATATATATGTATATATATATATTTATATATATATATATATATTTTATATATATATATATATTATATAATATATATATATATATATATATATATATATATATATATATATTATATATATATATATATATATATATATATATATATATATATATATAATATATATATATATATATATATATATATATATATATATATATATATGTATATGTATATATATATATATATATATATATATATATATATATATATATATATATATATATATATATATATTATATATATATATATATTATATGTATATATATATATATGTATATATATATATATGTATATATATATATGTATAATATATAATATATATATATATATATATATATATATATATATATATATATATATATATATATATATATATATATGCACAAAAAGAACACAGTAAACAGGTGATTTCAGAATATGCAAAACATCCACTGTGAAAGAATAGTGAAATTCCAAGCGCTTTCGTGACTTCTTACATTATCAAGGAACATATTGTATATGTCCTTATCATGTCTTCCCTATTCCTCCTGTCCTTCAATGCCATCAGGTCAATTTCCCTTAACCTCTTCTCATAGGACATACCCTTTTGTGTGTGTGTGTGCCACATCCTTTTACTGGTGTCAAAAATCATCTATCCTTGTAGAACAAAGTGGCACTGATAGGACAAGTCAGTATACTTATTGAGGCTGTCCAGTTCCCTATGATCAGCAGCATCACCCTATTGTCCAATACTAATTGTATCATCTTTCTTTCTTTCAACACACCGGCCGTATCCCACTGAGGCAGGGTGGCCCAAAAGGAAAAACGAAAGTTTCTCCTTTTACATTTAGTAATATATACAGGAGAAGGGGTTACCAGCCCCTTGTTCCTGGCATTTTAGTCGCCTCTTACAACATGCATGGCTTACAGAGGAAGAATTCTGTTCCACTTCCCCATGGAGGTAAGAGGAAATAAACAAGAACAAGAACTAGTAAGAAAATAGAAGAAAACACAGAGGGGTGTGTATATATATGCTTGTACATGTATGTGAAGTGTGACCCAAGTGTAAGTAGAAGTAGCAAGATATACCTGAAATCTTGCATGTTTATGAGACAGAAAAATGGACACCAGCAATCCTACCATCATATAAAACAATTACAGGCTTTCGTTTTACACTCACTTGGCAGGACGGTAGTACCTCCCTGGGCGGTTGCTGTCTACCAACCTACTACCTAGGTAATTGTATCATGTATTATTATTATTATATTCATTTGGAAGACATGAAACTGCACAGGTCATGCAGTACCCTAGTTCATAATAATGTACACCCATGCCGTAATCTTGTGTTTTATATTCTTGCGTCTCAGGCTGAGTACTCTTACTAATGAAGTAGTATCAGTGTGTGATCACAACACCACTACCTGGACCCCACTACCTGCCAACCTCTCCTGTCCTCTAGGTATGTTCACTCGCTCATCTTCTGTTATCAGTAAACATTATGAAATGTACTGAAAAATGGCTTCATACCTCACTATACTTGTTTACTTGCAACAAATGTCATCCTTACTTAAAGTAATAGTGACCCTTATTGATATTAAGGGGCATTTTACTGAAAATACTGGCCTTCTTATTTACAGTAAAATAATTTTGCTTATAATATAATTATTACTGACTAAAGAGCATCTTTATTTAAAGCCAGACATCTTTGTTTACATTTTAGGATATTTTTACTTACAATAAGGGGTATCATTACTTACAATAAGAGCTGTCTTTACTTACAATAAGAGCAGCTATCTTTACTTACAATAAGAGCTATCTTTAATTACAATAAAAGCTATCTTTACTTATAATAAGGGTTATAATTGCTCAAGAAATAACGTTAAGCTCAACATTACAGATATGAGGTGTAAGGGAAGCCCACCACCTATCCCACAATTTATGGTCAACAACTGGGACAGAGTGACGAGGGAACAAGGCACGCAGATCACATACACTTGTCAAATCAGCTACAGGTTAGCAAGGAGAAGGGATGATGGGAGTCGGGATGATGGGAAAGTATTGAGGCAGGGAGAGGGAGGGTGGAAGGGAAAGGAAAAAATAGAGAAGGAAGGAAAGAACAGGTGAGAATTGTGAATGAGAACAGCAATACGGGAAGCAGATTCTGCACTTGTAGTCATGTTGAATAAAACTATATGATATACTGTATGCAGTTGAGGTATTATTTAGGTACATTGTAAGTGAATAACATTAACTACATGAACTTGTGGTGACCTACAGACCTGTGGTTGGGACATCCATGATCTCCACGTGTCAGAACACCACCTGGACCAATATCTCCACAAACTTCCAGTAAGTGTTTCTACACATTCATGCTTCATTTTTGTAAGTGTATTTTCACCCACTGGTATCTTGAAATGCAGCTGAAGTTAAGAACATAAGAACGAAGGAGCGCTGTATAGCCCTTGTGGCTTAGCGCTTCTTTTTGATTATAATAATAATAATAATAAGAACGAAGGAACACTGCAGAAGGCCTACTGGCCCATGCGAGGCAGGTCCAAGTCTCCTACCGGCTTAAGCCAATGCACCCAACCTAGTCAGGTCAAGTCACATTGACTTAAGGGAGGAACACGGCAACCGACCTGGTAGCACAAGCTATCAGGTCCAACTCACACCCACCCACATCCACTCATGTATTTATCCAACCTATTTTTAAAGCTACACAACGTTCTAGCCTCTATAACTGTACTTGGGAGTTTGTTCCACTCATCCACAACTCTATTACCAAACCAGTACTTTCCTATATCCTTCCTGAATCTGAATTTTTCCAACTTAAAGCCATTGCTGCGAGTCCTGTCTAGGCTAGATATTTTCAGCACACTATTTACATCCCCTTTATTTATTCCTGTCTTCCATTTATACACCTCAATCATATCCCCCTAATTCTACGTCTTTCTAGAGAGTGCAGTTTCAGGGCCCTTAGTCTATCCTCATAGGGAAGGTTTCTGATACATGGGATCAACTTTGTCATCCTCCTTTGTACATTTTCCAGAGCATTTATATCCATTCTGTAATACGGTGACCAAAACTGTGCAGCATAATCTAAATGAGGCCTAACCAAGGATGTATAGAGTTGAAGAACAACCTGAGGACTCCTATTATTTATGCTTCTTGATATGAAGCCAAGGATTCTATTAGCTTTATTGCGAACACTTATGCACTGTTGTCTTGGTTTCAGATTACTGCTAACCAGAACTCCTAAATCTTTTTCGCAATCCGTAATATTAAGATCTACATTATTTAGTTTATATGTGGCATGCAGAGGAGAGAGAGAGATTTTGGGAGATGTTAAGTGAATGTATAGGAGCCTTTGAACCAAGTGAGAGAGTAATTGTGGTAGGGGACCTGAATGCTAAAGTAGGAGAAACTTTTAGAGAGGGTGTGGTAGGTAAGTTTGGGGTGCCAGGTGTAAATGATAATGGGAGCCCTTTGATTGAACTTTGTATAGAAAGGGGTTTAGTTATAGGTAATACATATTTTAAGAAAAAGAGGATAAATAAGTATACAAGATATGATGTAGGGCGAAATGACAGTAGTTTGTTGGATTATGTATTGGTAGATAAAAGACTGTTGAGTAGACTTCAGGATGTACATGTTTATAGAGGGGCCACAGATATATCAGATCACTTTCTAGTTGTAGCTACACTGAGAGTAAAAGGTAGATGGGATACAAGGAGAATAGAAGCATCAGGGAAGAGAGAGGTGAAGGTTTATAAACTAAAAGAGGAGGCAGTTAGGGTAAGATATAAACAGCTATTGGAGGATAGATGGGCTAATGAGAGCATAGGCAATGGGGTCGAAGAGGTATGGGGTAGGTTTAAAAATGTAGTGTTAGAGTGTTCAGCAGAAGTTTGTGGTTACAGGAAAGTGGGTGCAGGAGGGAAGAGGAGCGATTGGTGGAATGATGATGTAAAGAGAGTAGTAAGGGAGAAAAAGTTAGAATATGAGAAGTTTTTACAAAGTAGAAGTGATGCAAGGAGGGAAGAGTATATGGAGAAAAAGAGAGAGGTTAAGAGAGTGGTGAAGCAATGTAAAAAGAGAGCAAATGAGAGAGTGGGTGAGATGTTATCAACAAATTTTGTTGAAAATAAGAAAAAGTTTTGGAGTGAGATTAACAAGTTAAGAAAGCCTAGAGAACAAATGGATTTGTCAGTTAAAAATAGGAGAGGAGAGTTATTAAATGGAGAGTTAGAGGTATTGGGAAGATGGAGGGAATATTTTGAGGAATTGTTAAATGTTGATGAAGATAGGGAAGCTGTGATTTCGTGTATAGGGCAAGGAGGAATAACATCTTGTAGGAGTGAGGAAGAGCCAGTTGTGAGTGTGGGGGAAGTTCGTGAGGCAGTAGGTAAAATGAAAGGGGGTAAGGCAGCTGGGATTGATGGGATAAAGATAGAAATGTTAAAAGCAGGTGGGGATATAGTTTTGGAGTGGTTGGTGCAATTATTTAATAAATGTATGGAAGAGGGTAAGGTACCTAGGGATTGGCAGAGAGCATGCATAGTTCCTTTGTATAAAGGCAAAGGGGATAAAAGAGAGTGCAAAAATTATAGGGGATAAGTCTGTTGAGTGTACCTGGTAAAGTGTATGGTAGAGTTATAATTGAAAGAATTAAGAGTAAGACGGAAAATAGGATAGCAGATGAACAAGGAGGCTTTAGGAAAGGTAGGGGGTGTGTGGACCAGGTGTTTACAGTGAAACATATAAGTGAACAGTATTTAGATAAGGCTAAAGAGGTCTTTGTGGCATTTATGGATTTGGAAAAGGCGTATGACAGGGTGGATAGGGGGGCAATGTGGCAGATGTTGCAAGTGTACGGTGTAGGAGGTAGGTTACTGAAAGCCGTGAAGATTTTTTTACGAGGATAGTGAGGCTCAAGTTAGAGTATGTAGGAAAGAGGGAAATTTTTTCCCAGTAAAAGTAGGCCTTAGACAAGGATGTGTGATGTCACCGTGGTTGTTTAATATATTTATAGATGGGGTTGTAAGAGAAGTAAATGCGAGGGTCTTGGCAAGAGGCGTGGAGTTAAAAGATAAAGAATCACACACAAAGTGGGAGTTGTCACAGCTGCTCTTTGCTGATGACACTGTGCTCTTGGGAGATTCTGAAGAGAAGTTGCAGAGATTGGTGGATGAATTTGGTAGGGTGTGCAAAAGAAGAAAATTAAAGGTGAATACAGGAAAGAGTAAGGTTATGAGGATAACAAAAAGATTAGGTGATGAAAGATTGAATATCAGATTGGAGGGAGAGAGTATGGAGGAGGTGAACGTATTCAGATATTTGGGAGTGGACGTGTCAGCAGATGGGTCTATGAAAGATGAGGTGAATCATAGAATTGATGAGGGAAAAAGAGTGAGTGGTGCACTTAGGAGTCTGTGGAGACAAAGAACTTTGTCCTTGGAGGCAAAGAGGGAATGTATGAGAGTATAGTTTTACCAACGCTCTTATATGGGTGTGAAGCATGGGTGATGAATGTTGCAGCGAGGAGAAGGCTGGAGGCAGTGGAGATGTCATGTCTGAGGGCAATGTGTGGTGTGAATATAATGCAGAGAATTCGTAGTTTGGAAGTTAGGAGGAGGTGCGGGATTACCAAAACTGTTGTCCACAGGGCTGAGGAAGGGTTGTTGAGGTGGTTCGGACATGTAGAGAGAATGGAGTGAAACAGAATGACTTCAAGAGTGTATCAGTCTGTAGTGGAAGGAAGGGGGGGTAGGGGTCGGCCTAGGAAAGGTTGGAGGGAGGGGGTAAAGGAGGTTTTGTGTGCGAGGGGCTTGGACTTCCAGCAGGCATGCGTGAGCTGTTTGATAGGAGTGAATGGAGACAAATGGTTTTTAATACTTGACGTGCTGTTGGAGTGTGAGCAAAGTAACATTTATGAAGGGATTCAGGAAACCGGCAGGCCGGACTTGAGTCCTGGAGATGGGAAGTACAGTGCCTGCACTCTGAAGGAGGGGTGTTAATGTTGCAGTTTAAAAACTGTAGTGTAAAGCACCCTTCTGGCAAGACAGTGATGGAGTGAATGATGGTGAAAGTTTTTCTTTTTCGGGCCACCCTGCCTTGGTGGGAATCGGTCAGTGTGATAATAAAAAAAAAAATAAAAAAAAATGTGGCATGGTTATTGTCCTGTCCAACATTTAGAACTTTGCATTTGTCTATATTAAACTGCATCTGCCACTTCTCCGACCACTGCATCAGTCTATTCAAATCTTCCTGGAGTGCTCGAATGTCCTCGTCAGAATGAATTTGACGGCCTATTTTGGTGTCATCGGCAAACTTGCCGATGTCGCTCTTTATGCCCTCATCTATGTCGTTTATGTAGATTGTGAACAGCAGGGGGCCCAACACTGACCCCTGTGGAACACCGCTCGTGACGCTTCCCCACTCTTTCTCCCCATTTATGCAAACTCTCTGCTGCCTATTTGTCAACCATGCCTTTATTCAGGAAAAAATTTCTCCTCCTATTCCATGTGCCTTAATTTTCCTCAATAGTCTCTGATGTGGGACCCTGTCAAAAGCCTTACTGAAGTCCATATACACAATATCATATTCATTGGTATAAACCTTGGTAATAAATACCGACAATGTCATATTCATTATTATGATCTACCTCCTCAAATACCTTAGTGAAAAAAGTTAATAAATTCGTAAGGCAGGAACGCCCCTTTGTAAAACCATGCTGAGATTCGTTGATTAATTTATGCTTTTCAAGGTGGCTACGAACTGCCTCGGCAATTATTGATTCCATAAATTTTCCCACTATGGAGGTTAGGCTTAGTGGTCTATAGTTCGAAGCTAAGAACCTGTCACCTGCTTTAAAAATAGGTATCACATTTGCCATTTTCCACTTATCTGGCCCATGCCAGTTTGTAGTGATTGTTGAAAAGATTAGCCAAAGGTTTGCTAAGCTCCTCTTTACATTCCTTTAGAACCCTTGCATACAGTTCATCAGGGCCTGGGGGTTTGTTAGGTTTTAATTTCTATTTCCTAAGACCATGTCACTTGTGACCTATCGTGCACATTTTTTTATGTCTGTTCTCTTTAAATTTTTCTTTTTCTGGATATTGCTGGTTTCTCTGTTGTAAAAATGAGAGAAGTATGTGTTAAAAATTTTACACATTTCCTTTTCACTGTCAGTGAGGCTGACCGAGGAACTTTGAGTGGGCCTATCTTGTCCCTGATCTTATTCTGTATACCTGAAAGAATCCTTTTGGGTTAGTCTTCGATTCTCTTTTCAACTTTAACCTCATAATCTCTTTTTGCTTTTTTAATTCCTTTTTTATTTCTCTCTTTAC